ACTTTTATTCAGCAAGAATCCCTTCACTCAAAAGTGACAGTAAAGATATTTACATTTTTACAAAGGTTATATGTTTCATATCAGTGCTCTTCTTTATCAAGATTTTCACAAAGAAATGTCTCAAGCACCAAATCAGCATATTAGAGTAATTTCTGAAGGATGTGACACCAAATACTGGAGCAATGATGCTGAAAATGCCATCATAATCTTCATTAATTTAATTTCAAAATATATTCAAATAATAAAATTGTTTTTATTTGTATTAAAATAACATCTGACGACTATTATTTTGACAGTTCTGAACGTTTAGTAACCTTCTTTGGGAAAACATCCTCTAATAGATTTTGAAAAATGGCTTATAATGTAATTAGCCTACTACTTCAAGATTGACTTAAGTAGATTATGAGTAGAAAAGTACTCTAACAGTCATCGTTTTATCATTTCTTTGTCTTTTATATAACTTCATGTGGTCTTTCCTTTTTATGCCTTACAAAAAATATATCTACAAACTGCCTGTGAGAAAGGTTTACTTGTTCAGGCAGTGCCCGGCAAAGCTTCACGAGTTGCAAGCCTGACTAAGGTCTGCATGGTGTTCAGTCCTCCTACTCAAAACACTGGTTGCCATGGAACCTCAGCTGTGGTTTCTACCCCATACTCTGCTTTCTTTTACTCTCTCCATCCTTCTTTGCTTTCTAATTTCCTCATGGCATCCCCCTCCCCTGCTGGAGGCTGCAATGTTGTAGAGTGATATTCCCTTTTCAGCACTCTCTCTGTTACTCTAAAATCAGCCAGCGTAATACAGACATCACAGTCCTTGTCCAAACAGATGGTCTCATTTTTGGGAAAGGCACTGTTCCTGTACCAAAGATTAAAGATGCTGCACTGTGATTAGCTGTGCGAGCCCTTTGAAACTCTAGACCCTTTACTATGTAGTTTAAAGGGATAGTTCACTGAAAAACAAAAATTGTCATTACAAATCTGTAGAACACATAAAATTTGATGTTTTGAAAAACATCTTTAATGTTTTTTGTCCAAATAATGACAGTCAGAATGGGGTTTTAATGTTTTAATTCCCATGAGTTTCACTGTAGAGGCAAAAACTGGCAAAAACAGTTGAATCATTCTTAAGAAAACCTTATTTTGTGTTTTGCAGGAGAAAGTAAAGGTCACACAGGGTTGAACCACATGAAGGTGCAAATTATGTTTTAATTTGGAGTAAACTATTCCTTTAAAAGTGATGTGTAAGTTTGGTAAGACTTTATTTTGATTCTTGTAAATACCTTTTTTCATTCTACGAACTATAAAAGTACTTCAAAAGAAACTATAAAGTAATTTGCAACTACGAGTGAATTACCAGTCATTATTAGAGTATTAGTAACTGCTTAAAGGAGTAGTTCACTTTTAAAAATATATATATATTTTTCTTTTGCTGATAATTTACTCAACCCCATGTCATCCAAAATGTCCATGTCATTCTTTCTTCAGTCGAAAAGAAATTAAGGTTTTTTGATGAAAACATTCCAGGATTTTTCTCCATATAATGGACTTCATTGGGAACCAAACGGTTTAAGGTCCAAATGAGAGGTTCGATGCAGCTTCAGAGGGCGTTAAAGGACACCAGACGATGAATAAGGGTCTAATATAGCGAAACGATCAGTCATTTAAAAAAATAATTGATTCCCCCTAAAAGTGTAAACACTGCAACATTGTTCAGATTATTTGAGCATCCCAACCAGTTTGACACAGGAACACTGGCTCAAGCAGTGGCATGAGTTTGGCCAATGGCAGCTATTTTTGGGAACACTTATTTAACGTTGTGATGAAACGGAAGCAAAGGCAGATATTTTCATCTAATTTGTGAGGTACATCTGAGTGAAAATAAAATAAATGAAGGTGGGGGCTTGGTTGTTGGTTCTATCCATCTGTTGTTGATTGGATGAAGGCAGATCTGAATGCCAGCTTGATGTTGATTGTCCAGAAGGGGCAGGGTTTGAGCCGACCAAACAAGGGAAAATTTTAATTTCCTGTCGACAGGAGGTGAAGTGACCAACATTTTTTTTTTTTTAAAGGTTGAATAAATAAAGTAAATTATAGTGCTCTTTTATATTGTTTTGAATTTAAAAAGTGATGTTAAAAAGTGAAGTTTTGTAAGCATTACAAGATGCATTCATGCCCAAATTCATAAATTCAATCTGAATTTTACACTTATACTTTTGCATAGGCTACTAAAGATTCAATCTGACAAGGCAGAAGCCTCCTGCATAGAGTGTTAACCTGTTCGGTTTTCTGCTGAGGTTTGCTGGTTGCTAGATTTATTACATTTCCAGAAAGATGCCAAATGATAACACATGTGATCCTGGCTCACCCTCACTGTAGTTAATGTAATATAGGTGAGGACAGAGCAACTAACATTATTGAGTGTCCTAAGAGCTAAAAAGTACATTAAAGCCTTCTGATGCTGATTTTGTGTTTTTCAGTTGGTCCAGCAGTGTGAAAGAGAAAAAAAATGTGCAATGCAGGGTTCATACAATCTTTGTGAAAAGTGCAAACAGATGTTCAAGATTAAATGTATGTGGCAAGTGTGATATGAACAATCACAAACCCTTTCCTTACAATGCTTTAAATTTGATTACCTCGTCATTTTTTTATTTATTTTATTTTTTGCTTCTGTAAACTAAGCTGTAGAGTGAAATAATAGGCTACATTTTAAAAGATAGCATTGGAGATTGGGTGCTTTTCTACATTTTGCAATTATTATCACGTGTTATAAAACTTAAAACAAAACCTGACAAGCATCTCATTGATTTTCAGACTGCCACTGGCTGCCCCCAAACCTATTCCAGATAAAATTTTAGCCTGTAGCAACTGTTTTCCTTCAAAGCTGCACTTTTAGAGATTGTTGTGAGAATATCCTGTGAAATAAGGGTAATACCCTTCCCCACGGCTTTTGTGCAGAGTTTTGGGACAGATTGTACTGTTTCTGTGTTGCTTCTTCTTTGCTAAGCAACATTCCAAAAAGTTCAGCCAGAGATCACTGACATATAGGTGCAAGCAAGATGTGATGGGTGGACCATGCAACATTGCGGTAGGATGACTAATCACTACTCTGAGAAATGTTCCTAAAAGCATTTAGATATATATATATATATATAAAAAAAAAGGTACACAGACTACTAACTTGAGAGTTGACTTTGTATATCATGATGTTGTCACCTAAACCATTATAAGAGACTTAAACAATGTGTGTAACTGAAAACAAAAAAGAAACCCAAAGTACCACTTTAAAATGGAAGCCAGATTTTTCCTAACCTGCACAGAATTCCCTTAGTATTTTGGTAATGACATGGCAAATCGCTAGATAAATAAAAAAATAAAAATAAATAAAACATCAGAATATTTATATTGTGATATGACAACTGCAACTTATGATCACATGGTGTGCTGGGTTTGTTGGTATTTACTGTGAGGTTTCATTGGTATTTGCTCCGAGCACATGAAGTTATTCCGAGTCTGTTCTGAGGAGCTTATCCATCATTTCCAGTCTGAACAGCGTGAGAAAGAAAACATTGGGAGAGAAAATGAGACAGCTGCTATTGAACAGGCAGAAACAGAATTTTTCTCCTCAAGCGAGATCAACTGACTCAGCGCAGCGTGACATTAAGTGCTGTTGTCCAAATCTCAGTTTTTAGAGCTCTGCAAATAATCGCTTTAAGGAAATATCACACATCTCTTCCCGTAGGATATGAATAATGCCATGCGAAATTCTAATGTGCTCCAAGATAATATTCTAAGATGGGGAAAATCTACAATGGCTGCTGTCTGTAGGCTAATAGGAATTGGCAAATGTTGCATTTATAACATCCAAAAGGGCAAAACAAATATTAGATTATTCTATAGACAAAATGTCTTTGAATTTCTGAGTATTTCAGTGGTAACAACATGGCCTGCCTTAAAAATACTAAATCACATATAGAGATTAGGCTACACTAAATTGAAACCTATAATCTTTGGACAAAATTGAACCCTGAAAATGTTTTAAAAGAGAAAGTGGTCAGGTAAGGACCATGTAATGTTTTTAGTAGCCTATAGACAAAGGAGGTCTATATGGTCTTTATGGTGACAGATTGCTGGTATGAACATATTAAAGTATGCAGCATTTTGATGAGTAATGTATCCTGAAATTATGATAACACCACTTTCAGCAAATTGAAAGTTTTAGGCTACCTCACCTGCATTGTAATAAACGTACATGTCGTTGCACAGCCATCTAGTGGAAGAAGAAATAAATGCTGCAGTTTCGCATCTGTGACTGTGAGTACATACAGCTGTTTAAATAGTTTTAAAAACCAGAGAATAGTGTCATCTGTTCACATGAGAATTACTGGTTGGTTTTTAAGAATTGCTGTTAAGGGGTTAACCTCTATCTTGTTATGGTGTTAAGGTCTAAGTTAAGATATGGTAGGCTAAGTTACAGATTTGAAGAAGAAAAAAAAATATTAGGTCTATTTGTGAGCTGGTCGTTACGATAGAGAGAAGAATGATACTAGATATGCCCTACAAAGTCAAGTGGCACAAACCAAACAGTCTCTTGAACTACAGAGCAAAACATTTAATAAAATATATTTACAATTACAACATCAACAATTAGCCTAACATACAAGAGAGATATTGTAATGCAGACAGAGAATGAGTAGGCTATTGTGTTGCATTGTTTATGAACGTTTTTAAGCCTCTAAGTTTCAGTTGCCTAATTAAGTTAGGCCTATCTGTCCATGATAGGCCTACAGAAAGCTCTCAGATTTCATCAAAAAGATCTTGATTTGGGTTCCGAAAATGAACGAAAGTCTTGCTGGTTTGGAACGATATGAGGGTGAATAATTATGACATAATTTTCATTTTTGTGTGAAGTAACCATAGAAATAACCCTTTAACTGTTCAGAACTGCAGTTTAACTACAGTACCCACAATCCAAAGCGAAGCAAGTTTTCCGGCTTGCCAGCGGCTTCAGGAAGTAAATCCAACACAGTGACAGGAACAACATCACGGGACTATCTTTGCTCTGAGCAGATAAATAAAATATTACCTGTAAGCGATCTGTGTACACACCTGTAATATAAGACATCATGTCTAGGCAGTCGAACAGACCCACCGACAGCAAGAAAATGGTGAGTGTGTTTTGTGTTTCCGTAGATCTCAGGCAAACGCAGGGCAGCCAGCTAGCATGCTATTATTATCATCTTCGGATAAATAACATGTTTATTGGAGTAGTGCTTGTTTAATTGTATTAAAAAAATATAGTGTAGTGTACTTTACTTCTTACTAAAGACGTGCGTTAGTTTATTCCTCTAGAAATGAGGTTAGTCTTTCCATCAGTGCTAAGTTAGTCATGGCTGGCTTTTGAATAAAAAATCTTCAGCATTGCAGATAAGTTTTCCAATTACCGTTTGGGAAATATTGAATGATAGATTCGTTAGGATGATTTACTTTCATTGCATAATGCATATGTGCCATTCATTTTGTTTTGCACAGACGTTATTGCACAAGGCAATTGGCATTGTAGCTGTAGCTTCTCTTAATACGGACTAAACAAAACAGTAGTGAAAGCAGACAAACATTTATAGATTTATCCAGCTGTGCCATGTAAGGGGTTTTGGATTTTTTTATGTGTGGGTTACGTTTTGAAATGTACTTGTGTTTTCAACAACTCCATATTTTTCCGTGAGAGGGCGCTCAAGACCACTGTGTGCTCTCATTCGTTGAGACCTGATTATTATGAATGATGATGATGATGATGATTCTCTAGAGGACTGAGTTTTTGTTTTACAACCTATATAGTGGGGTCCATAAGTCTAAAAGCAAAATTGTGCCCATCTGAACTCCTTTGTACTCCTAATTTTGTGCAATATGATCTGTGGATCTTCTTGAATTATGCAGCAGAACACAATCAGCTTTTACACACACTTGTGTAGTTGATTAAGCCTTCTGTCATTAAAGCAAAAGGAGGCTATTACAAAAATGATGTCCTGCTTTGACTTTTGATTTTTCAAAAAAAATTGTTGTAACAAAATGTTTTTAACTAAGGAAATTGGAATTTAAAAAACAACATTGGAGCCGTAGACCACAGGCTGTGGATACCATTCTATTTATTTATTTTTTTAATCATTTTATTCTTTCTAAATTATTTGATTTAAATCATTTTAGTTATTTATATTTGCATTTGATTGATTGCAGATCATGTAAACATGGTAAACATGCAAAATGAACACTCAACAGATATCAAGTAAATAAAAATGATTGGAAATGCACATTTATTATGCAGAGAATGTGCATGATTGGAAATGCACATTCTCTGCATAATAAATACAAACTTCATGGATCACAATTCTGAATAATGTATTCCGTTTTTTATTTCCCTACAACAACTATGATAGTGTGCTGTGCGGGAGTTCCTTATCTTATTTCCCTACAATAAATGGAACATTACTCTGAAATGTTGCTGTTAGCAAAAAAGGCTCCATGATAATCTAATGTGAAGCTTGGACCTGTATTATAATTTTTTGATCCAGCTTTATTATTATTATTACTTTGTATTAGCATTCAGTTTCTGTTTTTCTTTTCTTCAGGTAACACACTAAATTCTGAGTAAATATGGTGGTGTGTAATTTTGTGTTGATCTTTCTTTTGAACAGAATTCAGAATTATTCACTCTCACATATGGAGCCCTGGTCACGCAGCTGTGTAAAGACTATGAAAATGATGAGGAGGTCAACAAACAACTGGATAAAATGTGAGTCTGCCTTTTCTCTTCCCTGACTAGTCATCTAGTCTGCTCACATTATATGCACTGTTTACAAATTACATCCATATTTGGGAACACTTTATTTCGATAGTCCACTTTAGACATAACTATAAGTAACTTTTCAACTACATGTCAACTAACTGACATTAGAGTATTAGTAGACTGTCAGCTTAATATCTGCTAACACTTTATTTTGTTGGTCCCCCAACAAACATTCAACTGACTATAAGTAACTTGGCGAATACAAGTAAACGTATTCTCCTAACTCAAAGCCTACACCTAACAGTCTACTGACAGTCTATAATATACTAATACTCTAATGAGAGTTGGTTCACGCATAGTTGAAAACTTGCTTATAATTAGTAGAACGTCTAAAGTGACTATCAAAATATAGTGTAACCCAATATTTTTATTTAGAGTTAGACAAATCTTGAAAAATTGTAAGGAATATGGTTAGATTTTCATATACTAGTCGCCATTTCATGTACATTTGTCCAGTCAGTTTTCCATTAGTCAAGTAGGAATGGAGCAGAGTTCTGATGGGCTTAGAGTCGATGCTGTATCGTCAGTGTGTGTGCTGGGTGTAGACTGTTAGTGTATTAGGTGTGGTGATTTCCCTGTCCTACCGTGCCATCCAGTCTGCTGAAGTTAGGTTGAGTGGTGTTCAGAATTTAAAATGTGCCACTCCAGGTTTTTCAAGAGTGGGCCCTGTTTACACCACCTGGTGTATTTGTCCACATTCAACCACTTCTGTCCCGATTTCTTTTCATCTTTCAATCTAATGGACGAAATAAGCTCACAGGCCCAGACATGACAGAAAAACATACAGAGAGTCACAGCTTTTGTTTCTGCTCTGAAACCGCAAGACCCCGCCGAATGTGGTGAGTGCATGTTAGAAATCAGGAATTGTGAGAGAACATTATGCTTGGTATATTTTTCGTCTTCAATCCAAACTTGTGGTCTCCAGCAGACAAAGTTTAATTCCCGTCAGGCTGGTGCCCTCCACATAATGTTTACGCATTAGGTCAGTTGGCGTTTTTTTTTTTTTGTGGCTGTTCAAACACATATGAGCGTTTACACTAGGAAAGCAATCCAGTTGAATGTGTTTTCGACTACATTTGGAAGTTTACACCTGTTGTCCACTTGTGATCTGATCGACCAAAACGCATCTTACCAGGTGTAAAGATTAGTGAAGTTTATACAACAGTATTTATATTATAATATAATATAACATGCAATGCAAACTAGTTTGGGTACAGCTCAAATGTATAATTCTCATTCTATCATACATTCACCCTGTCTCCATTACATATCTTTGTCACTCAAGTGTTTGATCACCACATTTTAATGGTCATTGCAAAACATTTATACATTTATTCTGGTTATACTGTGTATTCTAGACACAGTACCCATTAAAAGTTTGTACACACCAATAGGAAAGTGTGTCCACACTTTTGACTCGAACTGTACTATAATACACATACATAATATTGCTACTGTATTATAATATTAGGGCTGGGTAATAAATATCGATTTCTCGAAATTAATCGATTCTCATTTTTATGAACCGATATCGATTCTTAAATCTCAAGAATCGATTAGTCATCCTGTTGCATTTGAATGAATGGATCATTCTATCGCGGCTGCGCGCAAAAAATCGCAATAATCTTTGTCCTTTGTTACTATTGATATGAAACAAAGTCTCAATTTTCAAATTACGTCCATTTTCTTTAGAAATTCAAAAACATAAATATTGTTTTGGCGCTGTGGCGTGAGATCGCTCTGGCGCAGCTCAAGAGAAGCAGCAGCGCTGATCTCTCTTCCGGCTTAATAATACCAGTTACAGCACGAAATAAACATGAATGAGCATCTGAAAGTGTGTTAAAGATAGAGTACAACTTATCGAAATCCGTATCATGTCACATTGATTCGCTCAATTAGCGTTTTAACCGTGGAAAGACGTCAGTTAAACAGCTTGTAATCAATGCCATGTATCGTCATATTTACCTCAGAAAACCCACATAAACGCGTTAGTCAGCTAGAAAAATAACTCTAGAGAGGAGCAATTTGCTAAATATATACACCATATTGTACATATGCATTATAATCTTAATGTTCTTCAATATTTAATGCATTTTTGAATAAATCTGGCAAGTTTTTTATGACAGCCACTATTTAAGTGTTTATATTTCATATAATCTTCTTATTATAAAAATAAATAAAAGTGTAATTTAAGTGTTTTTGTATAGTTACAAAACAGTTCATTATTACCTTCATATTAGGCTAATGAAGCCTATTGGCTACAACTAGACTCCCATAGTTTACAGCATTTAAGAGATTTGATTCCCTCGAGAAAAATTGCCATTTACTGTAACTGATATCCAAAATAATCGATATTGAATCGAATCGTAATCGAAATCGAATCGAATTGCAAGCTTGTGACTCGAAATCGAATTGAATTGTGAAATTTGTCTCAGTACCCAGCCCTATATAATATACACAAATAATATCGGCCGGTATATCGTTATCTGGCTTTTTTTATCGGTATCGGCTTCGACACCCAAAAATCCATATCGGTCGGGCTCTACTTCATTTACATGCACTTATTGAGGCATGCTTATTAATATATTTTTTTCATATTGTTAGGCCTGTGTAGTTAATTGTATTAATGCATTTTTATGTTTAAGTACATATTTGTTTCTTTTGTTTGATGAACAATTGTGTACTATGTTGTTGGGTCACTACTTGATGTCCAATGTACAATCTGAGCCTTGAATCAAAACCAGTTGAGAAGCACTGTTTTAAAGATTGTGGGAAAAGCCATGAGGATGCGTGGAGTCCAACCATTGTGATTTAGAAAATCAGTGGGCAGCGTGTATTCTTTGGCTGAGTGGTCTTTTCATTTAAATCGTGCCTTGAACTAATCCAGTAGTCCCACTGATATTAGGTTTGGCAACACGTCTGTAATACGACCCTTTTCCCTCCTGCTTCTTTAAAGCATCCAATATGATATAAGCAAGAGCAAAATTTGACTTTCTCACTGGCCAAACAAGTTTGTATCTTTCTTTTCGAATCCTTCAAGCTGAAGGGCTTTACTAAAACCTTCAAACCTTTGATTGGGTTGATGGGTGAAATGAGGGCGAATGAAACTCTGACAATGACACAGTTTCACAGCTTGCCTTCTCTTCCATCCTTTCAAGGGGATACAATATCGGAGTGCGTCTGATTGAGGACTTCTTGGCTCGGTCCAGCGTGGGGAGGTGTCACGATTTCCGAGAAACGGCCGATGTCATTGCAAAGGTAACGTGAGTACTTTGAACCAATCAGAACGCATGCTGAGCCCTCCCTTAGGCCAGGCGAGAGAGAGAGAGAATCAAAAAGCAAGCAAGCATGTTAATGCGCAAGCAAGTGACTGGAATTTGAACTTCAACCTGCAGTAGCCCACATACTTTCTTAGCTTTCATCACATCTTTCTACCGGTTTTAATTTTTCAGAGTCACACAGCTTGAGAAACATCCGTGCTATGCTACCGCAAAGCCAACTGGCGAGCCGTTTGTGCGGTGTTAGAGTGAACCGAGACACTCATGTTCCTCCCGGCTTGTTTTCTTTGGTCTGTGAGACTGTGCTTTTTTTACGAAACACTGCACCTCACCCTTAGCGTATAGGGTTCACACTGACAGGATTGACAGAGCGTTCTTCCCACTGTCCGTCACCTGTCCATGCTTGCTTGGTCTATGTCTGTCTGTTCTCCTTTCTTCTTTTTTCTCTCCTCACTTTCCTCTGCGTGTGCCACGTTGTCAAATTTTAATCCAGAACCCATCGGTTTTGCTGGGACCCTGATCCCTTTAAACTCTTTTTAATACAACTTTAATGAGGGTTATAATGTGAAGCGTTTAGTCTAATTTTTTACAGTTTTCGAGCAACGCCGCGACTGGGAGCATTAATATAGAATTCAAATGATGTGCGCTCACAGATTTGTGTATTTTAGCTATTTTATACCTTCAAATGTGGCTCATCCAAACAGAATTTCAAATCAGAGCTTTTTTTTGCTCAAGTGTTGCGTAATATGAAGCTTTTTTGCTGATGGATGTAATCAAGAGATGCATGATATTAAAATTCTGTTCAATAGAATAAGCCGCTAATTGTTATCATTTTACGGCCTACCTGTAAAGTTCTATCTATATTACTGTGTATTAATTCATTCAAAATTTAAATGAAAAGGAATTGTTTTAAATGCATATTTGGCATTAGTTTTTATTTTTATATTTTTTTATTTTTATATTTAGCTTTTATTTACAGTATAATAGCTTTAATTAAAATTTATTTTAGTTTTTCAAGTTAACCTTATTTATTTATGAATTAATTTTTTCTTCAGCTATATTTCAATTACAGAATATGGTTTTTAATAGTTAACAAAAACAGCTCTGGCTCCAAGTGATTTTAGGCATATCAACATTATAATGTATTCAGTCTGAAATAAATATTCATTTTGAGATTTGAAGACAAAAGTGTAAATGTAAAAAAAAAATGGGGGAAATGAGCTTGCATTTTTAAATGTCCAATATTAAAAGATACCAATAAATAAATAAACAGTAGTATTGGCCAATAACCTATAGTAAATGCATCCCTTGTAGTATATCTTGTTCAACCACATAATAATCTTTATTTTTTTGGTTTTTGTCTAGGTTCCAACAAGTGAAAAGAGAACATTTTGAAATAGTAACATTCATTTGAAGTATTGATTATCTAAAATAAGCATTAAAATAAGTTTTTAATATATGTAATAAACTATATGACATACAATAAAATATGTAACATATTAACCATTTGTATTTAATGTTCTACAAAAAAATAGCCATGAGTGTGATACTGTTATTGTGATGTAAAATTAGCAATTTACCATTTAATTACATTCAAAGAGTTAAAAATATCTCCTTAAACCCGTTCTGTGGAGTCGTGCAAAAGCTTCAAGTCATTTCAGAGTGTGAATACAGCACCTAAAAAGAATGTGGCAGCTCTGCAAAATCACTTAAATGTGGCCTTGACATCATAGATGTAGGCAAGCGAGTTAACATGAAGACTGAAGGGCCTTTTTGTCTTCACATTAACAGGTAGCCTTCAAGATGTACTTGGGTATCACTCCCAGCGTGACCAACTGGAGTCCTGCTGGAGACGAGTTCTCTCTTATCCTCGAAAGCAACCCCCTGGTGGACTTTGTAGAGCTTCCCGATAACCACAATAATCTGGTCTACTCCAACCTGCTCTGTGGGGTGCTAAGAGGTGCTCTCGAAATGGTGAGGAGCATTTTTGCATTATATGAATTGACGTATCTTCTGATAACCCTCAATTGCCACTCACGCTGCGGTTATTTTTTTCGACTCCTGCAGGTTCAAATGGCGGTGGATGTGCGGTTTGCTCAGGACACACTAAGAGGTGACAATGTGACAGAAATTCGCATGAAATTCATTAAAAGGATCGAGGAGAACATGCCAGCTGGGGATGAATGAGCCCGAGAGACTTTTTTGTGTTGGGTTGGGAACCAAAAACTTCTATTTTGGTCAAGGGAAGACCAAATAATCCTCCTTATGATACAATAAAACACTGTAAGTATTGCTAAGAGAGTCCACCATCGAGAACATTCTCTCGATGTGTCAACAACGATGACATGTTCGATGACTATTTCAGGAAAAAACGTGTCTCTTTTTGTATTTGTCTCTAGTGTATCTTTGTTTTTTTCTTATTGCGTTTAACTCGGACATATGGCACAGAAGGTTTAATTTATTTAGCTGTGTATCGTGATTGATTAAATCATCAATATGAACAACCTTCTACTCAATAGGTCTTTGACACAAACTAATATTTACTCAAAGTTGTAATAAAGCGCTCATTTGTGCAAACCATATCACAGTGCTGTGTTCATGTCTTTAACGCTTGTGTCGAAAACAACTTTAGATGGCTAATCTAAAACCAACATTTGAAGAAAGGGCCCCATGTTCGACAAGAACAGAGCCGTAGTCTTGGGAGACGCATGTTTTGTAGAAAGGTCCAATGGTGTTAAGGGAAGTCTGGTAGGGGCTTTAGGTATGTAGATAATGGGACCTGTGTGTGCTGAGCCTGTGGAAGGTCCATCCACACGTTTGTAATGAAGTGTCACGGCGGCCCCCATCGCCGTCCTCGGCTTGTCGTGTACTGGCCCCTCCATTGTGGGACTGTTATTCCTGCAACGCGATGTGGTTGGAGTTAAACAACAATAACAAGGGCCTAATTCGTCTCAGATGTTTACTCAAGCAACGTGGAAGCAATCAGCACCAGGTTCACTGGTGCGTGTGCAGGACAGGGCTGTTTTTGGGAGCCAGTGCGTTTTAATGGTGTAGCCGAGGGGTTCACGGTCATGCGGACTGGTGGGAAGGGGAAGGTTGTGCGCTGAAAGGCAATCATTACTCCAGCGCAGCTCAAGGTCCATTCCTGACACCTGTTAATCACCTTACGTCATGATCCGGGCTGCCTTTTCCAGAATTCCACACCTCGTCGATCACAAATGGAAAGAAGTTTACTACTTCTTCTACTACTTCCCATCGGCTAGCATGTGGACTTGGATTTCTAAACTTTAGCCCTTTTCAGTTTCCATGTGACTTTATTCACATTGATGTGTCGAATAATGCGTTCATTGTGTAAGTGTTTTGTTTTATTACGTCAAGCCACTAGAGGTAGCTGTGAGCGTTGTGGTGTGTGACCTTTTTTTTTTCTCTTTCCATTCTCATGGATTTTTCTCAGTGTTTCTCTTCGGTTTGGTATTTGATTGCTCACGGGGTCCACCAACTGCTTGTTTTTGAGTCTCTGGGGCTGGGAAATTATTTTGTTAATAAATTCTTTATCCACTCGCTCTTGATTCAGGGACATTTCGAAGAAAAGCAGTGGAAAACTTATGCAGAGCCCCGTCAGGCTGAATCCCTCATCCCCTCTCGCTAGATTATGCATACAATGTATGTATTTTGTATAATGTGTATATTGGAAAGCGAGGGAAGAGGAAATGGTTCTGCTCAGACATTCGATTTAAATCATTTGGCAGAATTAGACCCCTGTATCATGGGGATATACAGCTGGGATTGTGTACTGCGTGTAAACTTGTATCACTCTTCCATATGCTCCCAGGAATTTCTCTAGCCCCTTCTTTCTCCCTTTTTAACAATGCAGGATGTATCCTTGGCCAAGCATCCGAAACAAAGTGATGCGTCAGTATTCATTAACCATCCCGGTCATCTTTAACCAATATGAATCTCAGCATGAGAAGAAGGATGGTCTCCAGACAACGAGATGACCTCCTCAACATCTTCTCTGTGTTCATCCTCATCTGTGTGAGCCGCTCGTGTCGGCATGGCCACCACACCAGGCAAACACTGGAGAAGGCACAAATTAATTCCAAGAAGCTTTTTTTCCACCATAAGGGATTGATTTTTTTTTTTTTTTTCAAGCTATTTTTACTTCTTCTCTTCCCCCATGTCTAAAGGCAGGTCAGAGGCAATAAATGAAAGAAAGGAAGCCTGTTCTTTTATCCATTCATATGCAATTTGTTTAAGGTCTGCTTCCGGCCCACTTCATTCTTTTCCTGTGTTTTTTTAAAGTAGACTATAGACAAAAAAGAAATAGTGGCGGATCTTTTCTTCCATATAGAGTGCCGAAGTTACGACGTCACTCTGTAGGCCAAAACGCGGAAGTGAATTAGCATTTTAGCATTACGGTTCCCTCGCTCTAAAGCCTATGGGATTTTTTAATGGATTTTTGCTAAATCGCCTGAAATAAGGTCTCTGGTGAACAGAGCCTCTAAATATTTTCACGTTTTGATCTATGACATAGAACACACAGTTATAACCTGCTTGTGGTTTTTTAAACTTTATTGTGTCTGATTGTGTTTTTTAAAATCTTTATATAGGCTTCAAAATGTATAAATTTTGGATTAACTTGTAAAGATTATCTTGCTAGACAAAACGTGTAAGGGTCACAACCCTTTGTTAAACACAGATCTTATTTTTTGCGATTTTCCAAAAGTCTATGGGAAAAAATGCATTGCTTTTCGACCGAGGGAACCCATGCGCCGCTAGCTTCCGGGTTGTCCTACAAAGTGACGTCATCACATCTAAGAGTAATTATTTATCGAAAATGTAGAGTGGAAACTTGGTTGGGTTTTGAGTAGGGGTGTTCCTATTCTCCAAATCCTCGATTCGATAACATTTTCGATTCTAAGGTCACGGTTAGATTCGATTCTCGATTTTTATCAATCGGCCAATCGGGATGCTCCCTGTCTTACATGAGGCACACACTCAAAAGTCGCACGCCCTCTGCCGTGCGCGCAATACGGTTTGGAGCACAGTTTTTTCTGTCTCGGCATGCATGCTCGATGCTCGCTCACTCTAGATTCGGATTCAATATGCGGGAGACTCCCGGGAACTTCCGTGAGACTTGGGATGTCTGCAAACTGTGGCTTTTTTGAAGCGCAAATGTTGTCAACATAACTCACTGGAAATCCAAAAAACTTCCACTCCTGCAACTTCAATGAAAGTGGAGGGGGTTCAAGTTCTGTCGATGAGGAACGTCGTCTAATTTCGTTGTACCTTGTACAATGACAATAAAGAATTCAATTCAATTTAATTCTGTCGATGGATCCCCTGCGTCTGCAGTTGCCATGCTGTCTTTTGAATGGCTGTAGCTAAATTAGAGGAGGTTGACCATAGACTTGCAGCATTTCAACACGCTTTTTTTATTATTTTTTTTTCGCTTGGCAAGTCGAACAGACATGACATGGGGCGTGACGGCATCGACGATTTCATTTTTTTATTCGAGATTGGGAATTAATTTCGATTGATTTCGAGATGTGGACATTGCACTTAAAAGTTTGAGCTTGCAGGGGGAAATGATTGGGGAAGTGCTGCATACCACACCAGTGAGAAGTTTGTCATGTTCACCAGAAGGTCCAGTTATGACATTTTGATTATACAAGGTCAAAACAGTGTTAATACGATTTAAAAAGCAGAAGGGGAATTTTTCATTTCATGGTGGCTTTAAAGCTAGAATAGCTCACTCAAATATGTTGTTTAGTGTACTACTCGCTTTCATTTGTTTTAAAACCTGTATGGCTTTCTTTTATCCATAGGATAAAAAAAAAAATAAAGATATCTTGCAGAATTTCCAAGCTGCTCTTTTGCATTCAATGAAAGTGAAAGGCTAACAAGATTTTCACTAAATAAGGCTTTAACCATATTGTGGTTACATCCATTATTTGAATGATCTACGTTTATCATGCATTTATGCCCGTTTTGCTTGACAGTCAATGGTCTACATCCAGTTTTATTCAGCCCAGGCTCATTTGAAAAATGTGCCAGCGGTAACTTTTCTGCGAAATGATATTACGTTCACGTTGCGCGTTTCAAAGTGAAATGTCCGAAACAGAAGTTATTATTATTTTCTACTGATCTCAACAAAGGTTCTTCTTCATACAATGATTGTTTGATTCTGAAACACACTGCACCAGGAGTCTACTGTTGCTTTTGCGACGACCGCAACTTTCACACGCATAGATCGACAGATAAACCTTGCACCCACCCTTATGTGTTGTGGATATTTCATACATGTTATTTGTATGTGTTGTACGTGTTTAGCAGAAATGTTACCACAGGTACGTTTTTCCATTGAGACAGTGTTATATTTTGGAACTGCATGAGTGTGAGCAGTAAATTTTCTACGTTTCTATTTTGTCTACGTTTTTATTTTGGGGTGAACTGTCGCTTTAAGAATTTTATTAGGACACTTCTTGCATACAAGTAGCAAAAGTTACGTATGCTGGAAACGAGACGGTACACACCAATCTCATTTAAACCCTCTAAATGCAACCATGTGCCCTATATCAGAAACAAATGCTGAATGGCACGCTGAAACAATAAAATCCTGCGGATGGCCTGCTGCTGGCTCACCATTATTGAATCCCCCTCATCCAATCTTCTGTCTTTTTTCTTCTCACTTTCTTCCACTGTATCATCCCCCACTTTCAAGCCTTGCCAGGGTGAAAGGATTGGCAGCAAGACGATGAAGGTCAAAGGAGGGAAACGGAGCAGGGCAAGACCGAGAGCGTTTCAAAAACACACCTTGTGGGAATATCAACATGCCCTGGAGCACGGAGAACCGACCCGATGTTGGAGAGCCATCACAGCCCGTTGCATGGTGTCCAAGTCTCCCACAGCTCTCCTGGAGCACAAAGGAGATGACACACGAATGGATGATCTTCCCTGGCTCGCAGGAACGGCAGCATGCGTACGGTTTCCAGTAAAGGTCACAAGACAGTAAATCAAAGGATCTGAGATGGAAATGCAACAAACCCTCTTGTCTGAGGTAATTCTCATGCAGATGTCAAGAAAATATGTAATTAGATCCTTGAGGAACGCCACATGTCAAAGATTTTTCCTATTAGTTCTCAAAAAAAAAAAATTTCTTATTTCATTTGTAAAGTCTTCTTTTTTTACACATCACTTTTTAGAGGATTACCTTGAATAGGTCACCATATTTATAACATGTAAAATGTGCTACTTCCACTTTCCCATGACTGCTACTATGCTGATCTGAATCAAACACATCTGGGACAAATAGAGAGCATAACTCCTCAGTCTCACTCAACAACCTCGACCTGTTGCCAATGGCTTAAATGGTACTTTAAAGGTCCTTTTTTTCCATTGGATCCTAGATTTATAGATTATATCACATTGTTGTTGTTTTTTTGTTTTTGTTTTTTTGAGAGGATTGATGGGGATTATTAAAATAGTTCATTTAATTGCTTAATTTCAGAAATATGCCATTATTTACTTAAGTTCATGTGAGATTGTGTACTTTCAGTGGTCCAAAACTTGTATTAAGATT